TGGTTTCTTGAGAATTGTTTTCTCACCTGTGAAAGCCATCTCTATCATGGCAAGGCAGCTATGATTCTGTTCGGGGTAAAGAAAAAAAAAAACAACAGTCGTGATTTCTCTCCCTCCCAGGGGCCTGGATTATGTGTAGGACATCATGGTGGCATTCCTGCTAAGACTTTGTAAACAGACTCATCCTCATTCTTATTGGGAGATTTATAGTGGTAATAAAGAAACTCATCAGGTTTAGAGCACAGAAAAATCAACACGGAACAAAAATGACTACTCGAATCATCCATCTCCAGAGCTCCTAYATAATGGAGATAATAATCTAGAGTCAAGGAATAGAAGTGTTTTTGTTATAATCTACTGAATCCTGAGTACTTAAAATGTGCACATATTTTGACATCTGTTCAGCAGCCTGCAGAATAATGAAGCGGAAATGGGGAGTAAGGGGTGGCTGGGAGATGATGGGGATTGAAAAAGCAATTCCCAAACATCAAGACAAAAAARTTTTGATTGTTTGGGAAAAGTGATGATGAGGAAGCCCAATAGTGCCATCACCCTCCTACCACACCTTCACCAGCACAGGATTGCAGGGACCTGGTGACATCATTCTGATTTAGAGGGAATGTGGGCATTGTGGCTTTTGCCCACCCTACACCCCACTTGCAGCCTGAAGAAGTTTTGGTGGGAAGGGGCTCAGGCYAACTTCTGTGTCTAAGCAATTCCTAGTAAACACACCAGGCATTATCAGCAGAAAAGATGCAGGGAAAGAACATCATGGACTTTTAGCTTTTTTATGTYAACTGAAACCATTTAGTGAGCCCGTTACACAAATATATCCCATCCTAATACATTAATAACCACTGAATTCTGTCATCACTGCAATCACTCATCAAACTCACCCTTCCTTATTTCTGCAGCACCACCTGTGCAGTGCAAACACTATAAACCAAGAGAGGGGGGAGCACTTCCAACATGCCTAGTGAGGCTTGCACTCATGAAAATAGATGGGCAAGGTGGAAAACCATAGTTATACATGAATGGGGGCTCCCTAACGTGCCTGCAAACAAAATCACTTTGTATAAATAGCCATGGGAGATGACWAGGTTAATAAAAAATCAGGAAAGAAAAAGGCAACAAATTATTTTACCCAGGTGTTCAGTCTGCTCGGGCTTGGAACAACTTCTGTAAACAAAGAGGAGGTGACGGGCACATTAYCTGCGTTCCTGTGTGTCCCAGTTACTCCTGCACCAGTTGCATTTTCCAGTTGATATCCAAGTGTATGTATATAGTTCGTCTTTGTATAGGAGTGAGTGTGGTGGCTGTCAATCGTGCTCTTCCAGTATTGTAATTTAACAGATCATGGCTGTATGAAAATCATGTAAATAACTAGAAAAAAATTAAACTGGATCTCTATGTCCTAGTTTTTGTACATACTGAAACTGCATGATATTTAAATTATTGTCTCTGATGTATGCAGTTTCTTTAAAAAAAAATCATTTTAAAAAAGTATTCCAGTGCCTGTGTATTTTCTCACTCCCTGTCCCAGTGACCGACAATATAACACACAAGGCAGTCAAAGATACTATCCACCTCTGTGGGAGCAAAGCAGGAGAGGGARACTTTCCAGWGCAGATGGGTGGGGCAGATCAGGCAAGCCCCGAGTGTCATTGCTGGGCTGGTTTCAGCATAGCGAGGAAGGACRAGGAGTACCTCAGCTGCTGAAAAACAAATCCAACAGTCTGCATTAGACACACACAGGCATCCAAAAACCCCATAACCAAATCCCATCTGTCACCACAAAGCTGCTGGTGCAGGCTGTGCTCTGCCGGTGCCAGCTGCCAGAGCCAATGCACAGCCCCAGGCGGCACCAGGAAGTATTGCTGTTCAGCASAGGGGCCATTCCTGCACATCCATGTTGCATGTTCCTGTTTTTTGTTCCCTTTTCCCTGTTTCAGTGGCTGCACACCATTTCAGGCTGTGACAAGCTGAAGCCTCTCTATAGTGAGGAGGAAAAGCCTTCACAAAAGTAAGTACATGCCTTCAAACAGGCTCACTGACCTGTAAAAAGTGCTGAAGGTGACMGCTCTGCTTGGGCTCTTCACTGTTCAGAACTGATGGTGCAAATATTCTGACCCTGAGGAGATGACTGACACCCAGCATCCTCACTGTAACAGGCAGCTGGGAGCAGCTCCCTTCCCTGRCGCACAGAGGCTTCCAGTTACACTGGAATTAAAGATCCATCTACTTTAACAAAATTCCTGTCCTTTGCTGAGGGAGAGACAACATGATCAAAACTCTGGCCTTCTAATTGGCTTCCACTTGGGCTGTTCTAATTTGCTTCCATCTGGGTGACATTTCACCTACTTCACAATCCTTGTTTGCGTGTGTTTGTATGTACTTCCACTCTGACAGCCAACAGGTTTGTGGCTATCCAGTGAGATTTGGATAAATAAACAAAATTGTAGGTTTTGACTAAAGATCCTCTTCCCCCAATCGAGCTATGGCTTCCATAGCAGCAGTACATATTGGTTTAGTTACATATGGTAATTTCTGTGCTTTTAACAAGAAAAATATTGGTGAGAACACATTATATGTGAATGTGAAAACACAGTCCAATCTCCTGCACTGAGATCTCTACAAAAGGGATGGGGTTTTATGTTTTAATGGAAGCATTTCATAAAACTAGTCTAAGTGAAGGGATGTGTGTGCCTTCAGTGAAGTCCACGTAATTACTGGCAATCAAACTGTAATCCAATACCATCTGTAGGCAGGAAACGGAGGAGGCTGGAAAAAAATCAATTCTCCTTTCAAGAGAAACACCTGCACAAACACCCTGCTGCTTRGCCGTGCCTGGCTAGGAGCTCAGTGCCCTTAGCACAGGTGTATGGYTGGATTGCTTTGCTATCATCTTCCTCCCTGCGTTTCTCCCCTTTGCTCCTCAGATCAAGGTTCCCAGACAACCAAGCCCAAAACCAACAACGTGGCCATGCCCCAATCACACAGTTGAGCTSGTCTGTGGGGACAAAGCAGCTGCTCTGCTCCTGGTGTACGTGATGCAACACCACCCTCAGGCCACACTGGCCAGCAGAACCTACAAATGGTGCAAAGCCGCTTACAAAATTCTTCCCTGAATGGCAGAATGMACAACAGCTTGGCTTTTAGGCAAATATGTGCCACAGGAGCTGTGGTGCTCAGAAGCACATCATCCTCAGCTGAAGGTCTCCCTTSAACTGAGGTGCAGTTGATAGCTGATCTCCTCTCCACAGAAAGCTGCTCGTGTCACTGTTATTTTATAAGCCTCTGAATTATTGTATTTCAGCTACTTTTTGTCTCCATGCTCTCCTGGTTTTCTTTCCATGCAGTCAGGCCCTTTATTTAATAAAGTCCAAATCACTCATCACTTTCCAAGCATTATCCTCTGACATCTGCCATTACTCTTCTTATCTGGAGTTCACATCACATTTGGACATCAGCTGGAAAAGAACTGATRTGTGCAGCATGGGAGAGCACAGACGTGTGTCACCACTCTAAACCTCTCCTGAGAAAAAGTAGGGCTTGAGGGGGAAACTGGACCAAATTAAGCTTTTTTTTTCTTGTTTGCAAAGCCCATGAAGATATTTGGTAGGGAGGAAGCCTGAGGGGGAGAGCTTTCACTGTCCAGAGTTGAATGTTTCAGTGCCATTTCTAGGGGAAAAAAAGCAGAAAGGAAAAAAAAAAAACCCAACACTTAGCAGTTGGTTCTAAATGAACAAGCAAGTATGCAGCAAGCAGTTACAAACTCAGCCAGTCAAGGAGGAATTATGTAAATAAAGACAAAATACATAATCTTCAAGCTTCTCAGGAAAAATGAACATCAGATAACTTGTTATCATGTCCCTCCTGGATGACATAGAGGTTAACAGAAAACAAATAGCAAAGATAACCCCTTTCTCATCTTACTTTGCCGAGGATTTCAGTGGGAGCCTCAACTATGTGTAACATCAACGCATTCTGTGTTAGGAACTACTAGTCCATAGGAGATAAAAACTTGGATTCCCATTAGAAGTGCCAAGTTGCACACCACAACTACTGCACTGGTTCAAAAGGTCCAAGAACAACTGCTCGGCAGCAACCCCAGGCTGGTGACAATCACTGGAGGCACTGGAACCCCAGGCTTCCCAAACAGTGGACTCAGCTCCAGGCTTAGTCCTGACTTTAGAAGGTACCTTGCCTCAACTTTCCCCTGCTTGTCACATGCTGGGGACCATGGAAGCTTCCATTGTGCAGTTCTGCTCTCTGGGGAAGCAGGGCTCTGAGCTAAAGCATTATGTTCCACTGGGTGTRTGAGCAACTGACCAAACACCAAAAATTGAGTGTAAAACTGAGTCATACTTCCAGTCTATTGGGAATTCAGGACATCTTCTGYCTAAACTGAATTCCCTCATAAATCCAAAGTTAAGTTTGTGAATGGATCCATTATGAGACACACAAATGCCTCTCACCAGTGGTGAAGGAAGATGAACTTAAATCACTATTGAGCACTCTCTTGAGAGCTCCCCTTCTTCAGCACAGCCCACAATAAATAATGCAGTTTGCATTAAAGAAGCACTCCTGAGCCTTCTTTGTATGTGGAACTGAAAAAGCTATACACAAACTTCAGCTGGACATTACAGTGGAGCAACATTTGGGGATCCATTCCACATGCAAGAGGATGTTTACGAAAAATTACTGTTGCTCCTGTGGAAACACAAAGATTTTTTTACTGTGAGGATGACTGAGTACAGTTTGCCCACAGAGGGTGACTCTCTTGGAGACAGTCAGAAGCCACATGGACATGGATAGTACTGGGCAACTGGCTCCAGTGGCCCTGCTTGGGCAAGGCGGGTTGGACCCTACGGACCCCAGAAATCCCTGCTAACCTCAGCCTTTTTGTGATTCTGTAAAATCAATCTCTCCCTTCTGTGCAGCTCCAGGCCTGCCAAATGGTAGTGAAAGTCTTCTTTAAATTAAAAAAAAAAACAACTTTCAGAGCTTTCAGTCAAACAGTAATTGGAGGAACACTCACTGGCAAGCCTGGAAGCAGTAACATGGACTGGCATTTCTAATCCTAATTCATTGCACCTCTCTTCACAGAATATGAGTTATTGATTCCCTTTCAGGACTGAAACGGCTGAACMCTTTCAGTGTCATTGCTGCTTGTTTTTAAATGACCAAGTAATCCGCCCTGTAAAGGCTGCGGTAATGCACCTGCTCCTTTGGGGTTAAGGGAATTGGCTGAGYAGCCTGGGGGGAAAACCTTCACATAGGCAATCCCTCAGACTGCACTTGTGCCCAYTATTTGGGAAACCTGTGCACTGCATGTTACAGAATGCAGGGCTGTTGTTAACAGATCTGTGTCTTTCCTGTCCACCTTACCCAGCTCCCGTATCTGCACTAGGAAAGCGCACATCCAAGGTGAACTCAATGGGTTACACTCCAATGCAGGCACAGCAATGGATTCCAAGCAGACACAAACACGCTTTTCCTGAACTGGCTGAACCCAGGCATTCCAGCAACACCAACACCAAGGCCTCAGCATCCAGCAGAGATCATCTCCCCAAGATTGTGAGGGTAACCCCAGCAGAGTCCCAAGCTTCCCCAGTTAATGTGCTGGAAGTTTAAACAAAACTTTCAAGTTTAAACAAAACTAGTTTAAAACAAAAGTTTCTAAAGCATTACAAGTCTGCACGACRCCAAGTGCAAGCTAAACACATTCTCTCAAGTGCAATGAACATCCTCGGCACTCAGCACACTGAGCACCAATTTGAGTCAAATAACAGCAAAGCAACATGATTTTATGTACAATTCCCTGGTCTATGCAGAGGYATAAATAGAATTTTACACTTTTATAAGAAAAAGATCAGTTTCCCAGTAAATCTCTATTTATGGCTAACCACTCTACTTTTACTTACATCATGAATTACATTTCTGTATTGAATTTATTTTGAAATCTACACCAAACAAGAATCAAATTACAACAGCTTCGAGCCAAGCACTCAAGAGAAGCACTAGTTATTACTGGCCTGTAATTCTGAATTATATTAGCTCATCCCACTGATTTTCTCCACACCTGCACAGATCCACTTCTCTAGAGTATCTTCCATGAAGAACAAAGGTGATACAGGCACAGAGAGCTGTCTGACAGATAAAAAGAAAGTATTTTAAAACACTTCAGAAAAGGATGTCACCCCTGGTCATGTGATGTCCTGTACCTCAGATTTGGGAAACTTCATTTACCTGAAAATTTAGTGTTAGAAGAATACAATTACATTTCTAGCAAAAGCATGCTTGTTCACCATCCAGCAGGCTGACATTCAGTAAATTCACCTTACAAACACCTCCCAAGTAGTAACTAGTTAAATCAAGTATAAGCTGGCACACTGAAACATTTTCAAATTGCAAGTAAATCTTTTTACCTTGCTTCAAAAGTTAGGTTTACTTCTGCAAAAGCAAGAGAGCACACCGTGCAATCAAAATACTGTAGCTGGATAATAAACTAACGCTTCAGACATCATCAAACCACCATTAAGTATCTTCATTCCATCTGTATTTATACAAAAATATTTACATATTGGTCACCATGCTTTAATAGCATCTTTACACAAAGGGTTAATGAAGAACATCACACTAGGTTGGGGGAAGGGTGGTAAAATGTCTTTTCAAAAGTCTTTTTTTTTCCCCAAGCTGTCACAAGCCAAGAGAGTTCTCAGACTGAGTGTGTTGGAGTCCCRCAGTGCATGCGCCACAGATCCACAGCTTTGCTGACAATGGCATCAGTGTTGTCCTGAGGAATCTACAAAAGATCAGGGCAAGGTGGTCAGAGCACTCCAACTGGTCTGTTTCATTCAAAATAAAGGTTTTGAATTTCCACTTCAGATTTTATCTCTTTATTTAAAAAAAAATMAAACTAGAATCCCATCTCCCTGTCCTCCCATCCCACCATCCCTCAGTCCTGCACACACCATATTACATCAAGGTTTTGGACAAAAAGCTTTTATTTCCAAAATGCTKATAGGCAGCCAGGCATCCCATACTTCACATATCCCTGACACCAGGCATAACTCACACTGGCCCTCCATGACCACAAACTGTATCTCATTTAACTCTCCTGGGTTACACTGGGACTCTATAACCCTGCTGAGATGGYTGACTATTCAGGGTCAGGAAAGTTCAGGATCAGGTTCCTGACTGCATCCTCACATCAACAGAAAACACACCTCAAGTCTACACCTTTGCACTCAGGCAAGAAGYACAAAAATGGTGCCAGAAACCAACCCTTCTAAGAAGCCTCCAGAAAAATTAAGCTAACCTGACCTGCACTTACTTTCACAGCAAAACTCTTTACTATCACAAGGAATGTTGTTAACTCTGTAAAAACACAGACAATATATTCCCCAAGCCTAAAAAACATTTCAGACTATGGAAGCCTTACCTCCTGATAGAAAAATGATTACTCTCATTGCTGTGCATTCTCCATTCACCYTGGTACTGCTACACTGTTCTCAGTAATGTAACAATACCTTTTGGTACATTGGCAACAGGCGAGCATTAGGGCTGAAACACACAGTTATAAACTATAAAAGGTAATGCAAAGCACAATTAGAGTACTTACATTTTCCAAAAACTGTGTAATCTTTTCTGCAGTATTCAGTGCTATTATCTTCATTTTAAAGGTTAATAATATCTCCACAGCAACAAAAACAAGAATCTTGCAGGATCCACTAATAACTTTGTCCCAAACTCTACAAGAAAGTGAAAAGGAATCACTAAACATTATTGCAGTGCTTATCTGCTTATTTCTCTGCTAGAACACCCTTCTTAAACCATCTCTAACTGGATTTTTTTTTTTTCTAAGGAACAGTAGTGTACTGAATTATTCAGGTCAGGATAAACAGAAGATACTTTATCAACTTCTCAATCTTTACATAGCAGAGGGATGGCAACCAGTAATTGGTATGTATTGATATGGTGTGTTGCTGCTTAGAAATTGAATTGTTTACAASCTCAAGTACAAAAAGCAAATCTTGGCTTAATAGCCTGGACTGTAATAACTGTTCTACAGTGTGGGGTAAAGGTGAGCATTTTTCCTAGTGCAAAAAAAAAAAGAATTTAACTTCATTAACACGTCTAACAAAGACASTCTTAAAACAGATAAGTCACTGAAAATTCAAAGTGATGTAAAACTGAACTTACTCCATCTCAAGCAGGCAAATATGCCAGGTCACTGCTGCATGAAATATAAATATGACCTATCAGCAGGATATAATTCATGATGTTTAACTCAGACACAAGGAACAACTATTAAGTGTTTCAAACCATCCCACTATGCACAAACACTCTCAGGGACTAAAGATTCCTCCCCTTGTGTGAAACCGTACCTGGACCTCAGAGTTTTAAGAAAACCTGAAAGGCAGGCCTCCAAAGGCTTCAGCAACAGAACTTGGATGAATATTTAAATGGATCGTTACTAACAAAACAGCCTGCAACAATGTGAAACCATCCTTCATCCAGCAGCTCTTCTCTCTCAGACCCAGCTCAACAGACTTGGGATCAAAGATTATACAAAAACAGWGTGAAACCATCTGTCAGATGACAGCTTTTATGGGCTCACATTATTTTTAGTTCTTCAATTTTAAGAGCTGTGTCAGAAAGAGTTTCTGAGGACTACAGTTCTTGCTCCTTCTGGGCACTTGTTCAATATATGTCTCCTTTCAAATAAAAACATGGGGGAACAAAGATCACACACTATCCTCCATAATTTCTGAATATAGCAACACTAACTGAAAAAAATCTTCTGCAGATCTATAAATTTAGATCTATGGAGGTGCTTCTTCTAGTGGCAACTCAATTTTTGTATGAACTCAGAATTTGCCCTTCAGCCCAGAGTGCCAGGAGAGCAAAATGCAAGCACCACAAAAACTTTGACAKCTGAACTAAAGTGTAGGATCACACTTTTACACAAGGAGTTTCGAGGTGAGAGCCCAGTCAAGAGCCATTAAGATGATGAAGGGGCTCTGACATCTCTCCTATGAGGAAAGGTGAGAGAGCTTGGACTGCTCAGCCTGGAGAAGTGAGGGATCTGGGGATTCTCATCAATATGTATAAATACCTGAAGGGAGAATGAAAAAAGGGTGGAGCCAGTCTCTTTCCAATCATGCCCAGTGAAGGGACTTGAGACAACAGGCACAAACTCAAACACAGGACTAGATTTTAACTTATAAAGAAGAAAAAGGGAAAGAAAGTGTAAGATCCTTAGAACTGTTCTGAAAATATAAGGAAACAAAAAACCCATGTGGACAGACAGGAAAAAAGAAGCCCACAGCCAATTTCTTTCTCCTTTGCAATTTAGTTTAAATTCCCTGTCTTGCTATAATTAAACAATTTGTGTAATTCCCACAGGGACAGGAAAAACACACAATCCAAGATCAAAATCTTATTGCTGCATTTTTGGTTCAAGCATCCCAGAACAAATGATCCCTGTAAATATTACACTGACATTGAAATCAGGTCTAGAAAGCTTTAAGCAAGGACATGAGAAAACTGAGAAAACAGTCCTGTTCCACAGTGTATAGATAGCCTTTTTTTTTACTTCTATTTTCCTGCATAAACATGTCTATTTAGAATCCAAGAATAGATTCCCCATGTTTCAGGTACATCAGAACTGTAATTATGAGTGAAAATTACAGAGAGTAGCAGATCTCAAATTCATATTAAAGCACATGTTAATTTGAAAACAAACTTACTAATCCTATTATAAAATACCCAGTCTTCTTTCATAATTTTGCTTCCAATTCTTCTGCCTTCAGTCACCATAATTACATTAGGTTACATGCTATGCTCAGAAACACTATTGTTTTCCTGCATTATTTAGTCTGATTCCAGAACAAATGTTTTAACAATGGCAAAACAGATGCAGTATCTAAATCACCAGTGTCTTAACAAATTTTGGAAGATGGTGCACAGAAAAATGAGATGTTAGCACTGACCAGCTGCATCTGCTGCAATATTTTTTCCCTTAACATTTCCAGCTATTGTTACTCTCAGTACAACTCCACCAGTGACATTAATCAGGAATGGCTGTGCAGCACTGTGATCAACAGTCAACACCTAGTCTGTACCAGCAGAGTCAGGAACAACAACATAAACTGTGTCAAAAATGGAAAAAACCCACAGCAGTTTCAAGGAAATACCTTTTCTCATGATCCTATTCTAATAGGAAAAATAAAATATTAAAATAAAATAATTTTCCTATTCTAAAGGAAAAACAAAAAGAAACAGGAAGCTGTAAAGGCAAAGAGCATGCCAAGGATTATACTTTTCACTAAGCTTTTTCTGTAGACAAGATACGACTCATTCTGTGTGCACTCTGTGTGTGAAGGGATGCCATTCTCCAAGACACTTTCTGAGGTACCTACACTACCACGGTGCAGTAATGTACAAGAGACATTGCTGCTCTCTCTTTTTCTGCTACCGTGAAATGTTACCATTACTCTCAGTTTTCCCCTGACGCCGCAGTGTGAACACACTCAGCCTTATTCCCTGGTTCTGGACCTCCAGTCATCCAGGCAAGAGACCTCGAAAAAGAACCAATGCTTTCTCCTCTGCCTGCACTTCTGGGTGTACTTCCGATGATAACTGGGCAAGGAGGGAACATGATGAGGCTCACACAAATCTCACCCTGATGTTATATCATGATCTTGTGCCCATTCATTTGCAGACTTGGGAAGTAGCTCAGTGAGATGAAGGCAAACTGAATTAAGTTTCTCTGKAGTAGCAGCCCACATGCACATATGCCCTCCTGCCCCACATAAAAATGAAGGCATTTTCCATATTTCTATTGTTTCTATTAACAAATTACTTACATTTTTATGGCTAAATGTAATTTATGCAGGGCATGAAGATCACAGATGTAAAACTATAGAATTGTATTAATACAAGAGGTAGCACCAGTTTGAAAGTCRTAAAATTTCAGGAGAATGACCAAATATGTTGCCATTAGCCAGTCACCAGAGAGTAATAACCTAACACCACCCAACTAATGCCAAGCCTTCAGTGCAGAGTACAAACAACATTAGTCAGGGGCCTGATACGTGATAGGCATCCTTAGGCCATTAAAAAAGCCTGGCTCAATCACAACTGYAAAGCTGCACTGCTTCTGTTGAATCATCTGGGCTGACAGTGCCACATTAAACTGATAGCCAAAATGACACTTTGCCTGTAGAGCTGAAGGCACAAACAGGATCCCAAGCTTTAAGAGCAGAGATCTACAGCTAAGGGCCCACACAGCACCATTGGAAAGCTTTCCATGCATGAGACTTAACAAAGAGATGAGTAGATATGGTGCCACAGAAATCAAGCAAACAGGGCAATGATGAGTATGAAAACAAAGGCATGATTCACTTCTCTCTCTRTCTTAGAGAGAAGCAGACCTTTCTCTCCCTCTCAAACCTGTGCTACAGGCTGGTTCATACTCCAGGAAGCACCCTGTCTATATTCCAGGTGGGATACAGAGTCTTTGAAATGGCCGGTCTGCTCCTCCCCTTTACCACTGTGGCATCTTTAAGAAGTTTGCTAAGAAGCTCGTCACATAATATGCCAAGTGTATTAGACATTGCATAAGCTCAAAGGAAAGGTTTCCACATGAAACCTGTCTGTATGTATTTTCCAAGCCTATTCAAATTAAACTCATACACAAATTTTACCTATGGTGTAACTAGAAGTGCGCTATAAAACAGCATTTATACTGAGTGACAATGTCTGTCAGGTACTGGTGCTGTGCTGGTACTGTGCAACTTCATCTCACTGTTATCAGGTAAAATTTCTGCACAGTATGTACAAGTCTTGTACATCTCAGAGAAAAACAAATAAAAAAAGAAAACCATGAAATTTTGATTTAGCTGCCTGGCAGAGAAGACTACAGTTCACAGAAAGCAAGCAGCCTCTCTAAGAAATACAGTGCTAAATCATAAGTTAAAATAAATCACAGAAGATTGCATTCAGATTATCTCTCACTTGATAAGAGAGTAAGGAAAACTCACAGGAGAACTGGAGACCTTCAAATCTCAGCAGCTCCAACACTGACATTTGGATGCATTTCAGAAAACATTAGGGCTTCTAGATCCTAATCCAAACTGAATCTCCAAGCATTAATTAAGTTCATCTGTCACATACTACCCATGAAGTATGTTATTTCCTCAGCGAATAAGGCCATTATGATAACAACTGAATAATTCATACACCAAAACTGCCAAGAAAAAGTGTACTTCCATCATGTTCCCACAAGAACTGTTGAGAAAAGGGATTGCTCTGCCATCAGAAGCACCAACACTGAAATTTGTTTTTACTCCAGASTGATACAGAAAGCCAGTATTTTGACCTTTTCCAGGGGGAAAAAAAGTATTCAAAAATTCCAGGTAATCATAATATTCTATTTCAGTAAGGTAAAACAATATATGGGAATGTTAAAAGTGTATACTGAGTAAACAAAGTATTTTATATAAATAAAACTCATTCAAAATRGTAGACATMTGAAACMAAAGATTCTGAGAAGATGAAATACRAAATCAAAATTCTTCATCTAGATTTCTTCTTTTACACTATCAGGATGACACAGCTCCATAAAACTTTCAATTTTAAACAGAATTTTTAGAAAACCCTTATCTCCCCAAGAGCAAATCTGCTCTGATGCAAATTTGYCTTTCAGTTCTTGTCCTCAGCCCTAAGACCTAGTAGCAAAATTGAATCACATGAGCTCTAAATAAAAGTCAAAGAGGTTCCCAATGCAGCASATCGCAGAGGCCATTTCAGATCACAAAAACCTACCAAAAAAAAGACCCGAAGAGACTGGCAGGGCCCAGGTCACTTCTCCTGACAGTAGTTTATGTTTTAAGGCTTTAAGTTGCACAAAAAGAAGCCACAATTAAAGGTGAGCAATCATTACCTGCTGAGAGTAGCCTACAGACACAAATGTGAAAAAGCAGTGGGTAAACCATAGGTATTCAGTTGCTTTTAAGACTGTAGCAAACATCCCATACTAAGCATGCTTACATAATTTCTGTAGTCATAAAAGTAGTAAAGGCTTTCAACCACCACATCACACACAACCACTACATAGACAAGAATACTATGGAGCCTTATTGGTGCTTGATGAGAAGAATTTGCCATGTAACAATTACTGTGTTGCATCTAAAGATCTACTACTCCATCCTTCAAAAATGTTTTTTTCTCTCAAATGTAATCCTTGGCAACTGTAAAACCTACAKATCCTCAAAGACCATGCTCCAACAAGAGCAGAGGGCATGATTTCTAATCTTACAGCTTGTTCCCTAAAATCTTATTTTTATAAGGATAAATAAAACATTTTTAAAAACAGCCATTTCCCACTTTTCTCCATGAAACATTGTGCCAAATAAACAAACACTGCATCCACTATTCAGATTATGACCAACTTTACCACCATAAAAGCATTTTCTGCAAAACAATTTCCATGCTAGGTTCCTATACTAGCCACTGAAGTCCTGAGATYCCCTTCAAGTGTGACTCCCTTGAAGAAAAACTTCCCTTGAACCTTATTACTTCCCAAAGTTTTCAGGCAGCTGAAAATGACACCATTGTTTTCTTTGTGTCACATCCTGTTCAGCTATCAGCAACTCTTATTAATGTGAAAAGATGTTTCTCTAAATTGAGTTTGAATTTCCTGCTTTCCATGAGTTCCCAGGCCGCATTATTAGAGAAATCATACAAGYGTCATTTCAAAAACCTTCAGTGAAGTGTCATGCACAAGAACTTTGCCCTTTTAAAAGCTCAACAACCTATTTCTAACTGTAGAATCYTGATATAATCCACTAYTTCACTGACTTTRTAATATTTAACTTGCCATAGTACTTTTTAAAATAAACATCCTTTCATGGTTTAACCCCAGCCAGCAACGGAGCACCAGACAGCCACTCATRTATTATCCCACCAGTGGGATGGGGTAAGAACTGGAAAGGTACAAATAAGAAACAAATTTSTGGGTGGAGAAAAAAAAGTTTCATAATTAAAAAGAAGTWATAATTTCAAAATATAGGAAGGAASAGAAGAAAACATTAAAGAGAGGAAAATAAAACCTGAGAGAAGTGATGCAACTGAGAACAGCTGCCCCACCACCCCAACTGATGGCCACCAAGTCCCCAACCAAGTGCTCCCACCTGCATGACTACACATGGAATGGGATATCCCCTGGGTCAGCTAGAGTCAGCTGTCCTGACTGGGACCTGTGTCCCCTCCCAACTTCTTGTACACCCCCAGTGTCCTTGCTGATGAGGAACAGAATGATACTCTGAGATACCCTGCTCTGCAGTAACTAAAACATCCCTGCATTCACAGCCCTATACAGTTACTCAGAAGAAATTTAACTCTATCCCAGTCAAAACCCATACACACTCCCAAAATCTTTTTCACTTAACAATAATACAATACTAGAATCACTCCCTAAGCACAGATTTTTGTTAAAAGCCCAAAAACTAACTACCATTCAGCTATGTACCACCGACAGAGAGTCTGGAGTTTCACATCCTAGGAAGCATTAAGTGTCTAAAGGAATCAGCTGATATACTTAATTCCACTCTTTTCATTTTCAGTGGGTGAAATGATCACACCGGGATTATCTTGTATCAGTAACAACAGAAATTAAATCCAATTTTATAATTTCCAAGTTAGCAATAAAGTTAATACCATAATCTTACAGATGAACTATGGAAAGCTCTTTGCCTGCTAGTGATAACAAAAAGATATTACTATGCAGTTACAAACAGAAAAAAAAAAAAGAAAAATAACTTGCCTCTGCAAACTGGACTCAGGTAAACATCCTGCAAAACACTTTTTAAACCAAAGATCGTAAGGGAGTTTGCTCATTGCAGCGCAYGCCTTCAGATGCATCAGTAGTCTGTTATCCTCAATGTTCAAATACTGCTCCAGAATTTTTGGCTGAGAAAGAATTAGAAAATTTTCAGTAACTCGCAACAGACTAACTTCATAGTTAATACACACTATAAGACAAGCATTGTCTTAAAAATTCAACTGGAATAAAATAACTTGTTAAAATAATGTACCTTCATTTTTTTAACTGTTCCAAAATAGAGGTGTTACTGACTTCTTCAATTAACTAAGTATGTATTTAATCAAAGAATCAACCTCAGCTTCCCTTAACTGTTGACCACTAGCAGAACTTTCAAGTTATGCAGCATTCCCTAGTGCAAAGAGGTGTTTCAGAGCTTRAAGGCAATGCAGAGATTAAATGTGCACTAATGACTGTTACCTTCACAAGTAAAATTGAATTTCACTCACCTCAAACCTAACTGCCGTAGCACACATCAAAAAAATCTACACACAATGCAGCAAAACACAAAAAATTAATTCTGAGATCAAATCCCTGTGSAACCCATTAAAAGCTGGACATTGATTTATTGTTTAAAAACCTCAAGTATTTAAAGTATAAACATGTAGATRATTTTCTCATCTTGTTAAAAATTTAATGTAACACAATACACATTTTCATAAATTCCTGAGTACCTTTATGCTTTCCCTCATAATTAGGTAAACTGCTAAGGACTTCAGCTGTCAAAGTCAGTAAACACTTCCTTTGTCCATATTCTCACCTACTGAGTCTAGGTAAATTGTATTAAAAAAAAAATTAGGGAGGGAGGCACTTGGCACTCTTTATATAGTACAAACACACTTTCTTTAAAAATATTCCTTTCTCCTTTGAACTGCATAGTWGAATGTGCCACTTACTGAAACATGAGGTAGGTTTAAAAATTATTTCTTAATTCCAAAACAACTAACAAGGGCAGGCATAATTTTCCACAAATTTCCATTCAGCAATTGCTGGTGCACATGTACTCAATACTTTTACTTCAGAAGATATTGTTAACTGAAGGTCCTTATCTCTTAAGGCTGATGAATTACAAGAGCTTTCATAATTTTGATAAGCAYGCATTACAATCAAACTTTAATTTTATAAATCAGTAAGACAGAAATTCAAAATTAATGTTCTATGATAGTGTTTAAATGATCAGTGTTARAAGAAAACTACTCCACTTTTTATTGTAACTTAATTTGCAACAYACTGTTTTTCTGAAGACAGAATACCCTGTTCCATTTATAAAGCAAAACAACTCAGCTTTGTCTATCATCCAATGAGCAACATATGGATGACAGAGATGCAGCCTAAAAAGTAGCAGACATACTCCAAGGTATTCTGAATTTTTGACATTTTTAACTTTTTATAAAGAAAATKCTTAAGTGACTAATTTGTGAGACAAATCATTCAACTAGATAGAATGTAACTTTTAGACAACCTAAAAAAGGTAATTTAAAAATACCATGTACCAAACAGAACAATTTCTAATCTTACATTAGACAAGACAGCACAATCACAATGTAAAAAGCACCCCTTCCATTTTCTTAAAACATCTGGTGGAACAGAGTCCAAGGGTGTCACCTCCGATGCTCCTGTCGTCTCCCTGTATTAATGCTTTCTGTGACTGCTTCTCCTCACAAAAAGAAAAAAAAAAGKTGTTTTTTCTTTACCAGTTGTTGTAATGAATCTTTGTGCTTGCTGTTCAGCTGATTTACAAAGCAACTGACAAGCCAATAGCATTCTATAGGATCCTCCACCATTTCCTCCATTGCTTTAGCAATAGCAAGAAACACCTCATCTTCAGGTTCCTGAAAAACAAAGCCAAAAAATGTGAACTACCAAAAATAGTGTGTAGTATGGACTATTCTAATTTAAATCATGCTTGCATTWATTTTCTCTGCTATTTGGCAATAAAACCAGGAATCAACATACACAAAGAGCTGTTCTGACATTCCTAAACAAGGCATCGGGAGCAGCTGCACTATGATGWCAGGTACCTATTAAAGTAGAGCAAATAAGACTTGTCTTGCTTTTAAAACCAAAACGTGCTTCAGTATATGGCGAGTCTTAAATACTACTGGGATATGTCTCTGCCACACTACTGCAAGACCAGACTACTGCAATATACACACTTCCCAACTTAAACGCTCTGCATTTAGATGYACAGAACACTCAGCAGACTTCTGTCTGTTACTCAAACATATCAAACTATTCCGATCATTCTGACATCTCTTTATACTCCCTYTGCCTCTACAATAGAACACCTGCATTACTATCAAGCAGTAACCTCTCGTAAGTTTAAGGGGACAGTGACTGCACTGAAAACAGGCTGCTGCACTGAGAACAAATGCTTTCTGCAGCAGCAAAACAAACCTGAGTTACAGGATTAATGATTGGGGCTCTGCTAAACACCATTTCTATCAAGCCSCACCACAGTCCTGAGCAGCTCTGAGATGCACTGACAAAACACTTGCTCAGAAGGCAATACTGCTCTAGAAAAGAGGAATTTTCAGCCCACTGGGTCACATGCCAAGATCAAGGAAATTTCTCTACTGGAAATTTGCAGGGTAGGATGGCCGCATTCCTAGGTAACAGTAAAGGAATGACAACACTTCCTCCTCTGACAAGAGAATGCTGCATGTAATTCTCCAGGTCAAAATATTACTGTATTTTCCATATTAGCTTTTTTTGTTATTTGGAACTTTTCTTTAAGTATGTCAAAATTTGTGATTACAGATGGAAATAACAAATGAAGCTGGGCTAGAATGAATACAGATAAATTAAATTGAACACAGGAAAAAATCCATTTAAAAAGCTTCATGGCTCCTTTCATCATCTCCTATTTCATGGAGGCTTATATGAAAAGAACCACACATTGCTTTTATCACCACACTACTAACTTACCATCACAGCACAGACTCGTTCAACCATATGGGTGTACACTGTGAACTGCAGAGTATGTACCTTATCTGAAAGGAGCCCAGATTAGTTCAGACTAAGATAAAAAGGACAACAGTACACTGAAGTCTAGATCTAAAAACAAATAATTTAAGTATTTGCTGCAACTTGCATTAAACCACTGTTTTTAYAGGCTTTGAATTATTCTTGTTCCAYAAGACGTAAGAACCTATGAACTCCAATGAGATTATGACAYTTTCATTTCAGTGCTATAAAGGAACTGAAGTGCTCTGGAATACAAAAAGGCTTCAAACCTAGCAGGCAAAATGCACAAGAAGAGATTTTAAGGCATAAAATCTTACGTAAGTACTTAAGGGAACAACAAGAGAAAAGCACTTTGACTAAAAATCCTTATTTTACACTAGTACTTCTCTGTTTTCCATTCACCTTGCTTGGTCTATCTACAAGMATTTATGGGGTGATTTGCAGTTCAGTTTCTCACTGGTTTATACTTTCAAGTTCAATAAAGTACTGTATTTAAAAAACTGTTAAAATGACAACTGACCAGTGGAAAAGCTACATTTCGAGGCAATTTTCCTGATTCCAATTGATGTATTCGGAGAAAAACATCAACCTGTGGGGTAGAATCATTAATAAAWCGAATCACACGAAGAGCATGGTGAATATCCCAGTATTGCTCCTTCCGGTACTTCATCACTAAAGTATGAGATTCATGGTGAGGAGGAATAATTCCTAAAAAATTAAAAAAAAAAATTAAAAATTAAAAGAAAAAATTTAAACAATTGTAAAGAGAATTCTTGTTACTTTTTATACCTATCTAGTTTCAGTACAGTACTAGTTGTGTATTTGTGCCCAGCTTCCATTTATTTTGAAAWCAAAGTCAGTACAGAATGATTTTTATATACATTAACTGTTCCGTTTTTCAAATTCTACACTTCATCTGAGATGACAGAGAATATTTACATGCAATTAACTAATGCAAAGATACTGTACACTGTGGTATTAATTAYTGCCAGAAAAGTCTTCACTCACTATCATATCTTAATCCTCCCTAAAATGACATTCAAAAACCAAAATCAATCAGCTGAATCAGTTAAAGATTAAAACGTAAGAATGCCACAGTCACTTTGCAAGGTAACATTTTTTATTTTCTTACCACAAAACAAATACTTTTTCTAGTTTCCTGTGAAACAAAAGAATTAAAAAGAAATAAAAGTAACCAAGTARAACGGCAAAGAAAATTAAACTGCATCTCCAGAAGATATACTTAATCCTCCCCCTTACTTGAAACTCAGTCTTGTCATGCACTGATGCTCACAACAAAACTGCCACAGACTTCAACATAAATAAAAACTTACAGACACCATGGCAAAAAAATGCCACTTCCCTATCACTAGTGGAGCAGAATTTTTCCCAGTGTAGAAACCCATGAGAACAAAGTATTCTTCAAAAGTCTGATCTGAAACAAGCTACCTGCTGCTTTTACCTCTCATTTAAAATAAAAAAATATTCCTGCCAAGTGTTAAACCACAAAACAGCTGAGTTTAGTAACAAGCACATCAGACAGAAAATTATCTTTTCTTTTCCAACTGCAAACCTGTCCGCATTTCAAAAGTCAGGACAAAGCAAGGCATTTTTTACAACATGAGAATCAGCATTAAAACTGTATGTTTGTACGTACATATTGCCAACAGCTCTCCTCAAACACAGAGGACAACCTTAGGCAGGGAGAAAAGAAGCTTAAACTACACAGGGTGCCTGGAAACCAWCATGAGTCATCCTTGAACAGGAAAGTAATGGAAGCATTGCTGACACACCACGTCATCTGGGACATAAGCAAGCTTCGGTACATCTGAAACAGTTTTGCTGACAGTACAGACTTATTTTTCTTAATCTATTAACCTTACTTAGAAGACATGTAACACCTCCCACCAGAAATGGACTGGGCTGTGGTTCCAATCATATAGGGAGAGGTATTTTGCATCATCCTTCTCAATACCAGCTCTTCTAACATCTGTTAACACTGAAATRCAGCATAAGGAAAAGTCCTTGTACCTCTGTTGCTCCAAGGCATGTCATAGAATGACAGTATGAATACTTGAAATCATAGAATATCTCATATTGAAAAGAAACCCCAAGGACTGCTTAGTCATCCTCCTGGCCCTGCACTCCAAAAAATCCCATGATGTGCTTCAGAGGACTGGCCAAATACTTGAACTTAGTCAGGCTTGGTGCCATAACCACTTCACTGGGGAGCCTGTTCCACTGCCCAACCACCCTCTGGGTGAAGAACCTTAATCGGATATCCAACCAAAACCTCCCCTCACACAACTTCATGCTGTGAAATGAAACACTCCATGTTTAAAATAAAAAATCCTTTTAAAAACCAGTATAATTTTCCACATAGTTGACTCATAAGGTGTTTCGTGTTATTCTGTGATTCACAGATCCTTTATCTAAAGCAGCCCAGGATCTGACACTGCAGTGTGCCACAGTTTTGCAAAGAGACTCTATTTTGYTATTATAATTTTGGCTAAAGGATTTTGTACTGAGTCACCTGTCCAAAACTCCTATGCTGTATTTCCTACCACTAATATTTTAAAGAATGCTGACTACTTCAGGGTACAATAACCTTTTTAACAGCAGAGGCTATCATGAAGTAGGAGTACCGTATTAATTCAATGATCAACAYCAAGAACTCCAAGTTTTGTAATTAGATCTCGCCCCTTCTGTGCACTGTTCATTTACACCTTTGCCAAAAACAGGCTTACAAATCCAAATAATCAGGAATATGAAGTCACAACTTTTAAATGTAGAAAGCTAGAGGGGAAAAAACAATTAAAAAAATAACACAGTTTTTAAAACCCCTCCTGTCTCCAAATGATATTACCTTGCATCTAGTCAACCAACACACATAACCAGTTAGTACAAAGTCATTAGTACATTTTAATTAGTCATCTGACTAGTGCACTTCTAGGCAAATATAATCTATTTATGATTTTTATTATTTTGGGGGAGACCATTAACTTGTCTTTGGCCTCGTATCTTCTTCAATGACAAATACAGCTCAAAGCCAGAAGCAGAACCATAAGATACCAAGATTCCRCAGAGCACAAAGCTGCTCTTTAGAATAAACATTAATTCCATGCCTTGCCCAGTTTAAAACTAATCACAGCTTTACTTCAACTTAATTTTTTATTAGTTCAGGAAAAGAACCGAATGTCTTATCAGRTGACATACCAGTGACTTCTTATAACCCACACTTCAAATCCATTTTATAAATTTCCTTGGATAGGGTGACAAAGTTAAAYATGGAAACACACTCTCCTAGGCACACTTCAGCAAAGTTCTCAAAAACTRTGCATGTAATATTGTTTTGTAATTGCCACTATGCATCCTAGGTGAATACAGAAGTAGGCTAAATACGCATCAGTAAGCTAGGTAATACAGACTAATAYGTGTCATTTCTTCTTTGAAGAAAAGAAAACCCCAAACCAAAYAGAAAAAATATACCATAAGATGGAATGCAGAATGTAGAATATTTCGTACCTARAAGCACTTTCCACACCAGTATCCGATACATGGATGGAAGAGGAAACCTTTGACTAAATGTGCAAAGCTTCTCAATATCTGTAAATAAAAAGAAAAAAAAACAGGACAAATTTAAATATGATTATAACTAGGTCTGCATTTCTGATCCAGCTAAGTATGACAAACCTTTAGCTKCAGATTGAAATCCCCACATTCATCATTTACTATCAACAAATGTTTTTCACTGCTTCAAATTGAGAATACACTGTGCTTTAAAAACTGCAACAATTTTGACAATATGTATATTTGCCTGACTTCCAGCAAAACTACTGATTTCATCAGGAAGAAACTACCATTTTTATAGGCATTTCATAAATTGTGACACTGTCAAAACAATTAAGRCCTTTTTTAAAGGGGCAACGTTTATCTCTCTGTTATGTTAGAGATGTGGCACTCCTCAGGGACCAAGAGCAATAACATYTTCATTGCTTTGAAGTTGGAGGGAATTGACAGCATAAGACAATGCAGTCTCAGATGAAAATTGCTTTCCCTAAAGAACTTTTAGTTTCTTGGGCACAGAGAATGAGAGAAGGAAAAAAAGAGAAACAAGCAAGCTGACAAATCTTTAATAGTTTTAAAAATCAGATTTCCAGATCTTTGAAAATCAAAGGTCTGCTAGCACTAACTGAGARATTATTGGTAAAAGATGCAAAACTTTAATGAATATTAAGTACAACAGGTAAACATTTTCTATTACTCCTTCCCCCTAATCACCAAGAAATAGAGGAAACTCTGAAATCAACTTGCCCAAACGGTCATCTTTTAACAGAATTTCCAGCGACTTCTTTTCTTCAACTCCACGAAACCCCACTTTTTCATAATAYACTGAGCGAAAGTTTCTCTGGGAGTCATCAGCCATGACTGATTCCTTCTGGAGAAAGAATGAATTCCTCTGAAGACTTACAAGAACAGAACACATGCCTATTGCTTTAAGGTCAAGTAGTTTTGCACACTGTTAGAAGTTTACTGCCTATGTCTCTACAGTATTAACAAAAAAGCACAGAATATTAAAATCTTCCAAGATTTTTTTTGTCATATACTAACATAAACCATTATAAATATAATTTAATTTAAACAAGGTCAAAAGATACAAATCTCCAAACAAAATACAGGGATTCTTTTTTAAAAAATCGTTCGCATAGTAAATTATGCTACTTTTCAAAAAGTTTTAGAAAAAAATTGMTGGTGAGACACATCACACTGCATATTTCAAAATCGATATAAAAAATACAGTTACAAGTCTAAGAAAATTTTTACTACAAAAACCCTATTCAAGTACAACTGTTACCAGGTAAGTAATGTTATTAGGTTTCTTACTCACCAGCCAACATAAYAAGAAGCAAGGACAAGGCAGCGATGGCTTCAGTGGCACAGATGTGACAAGAAATAAGATACGTAGGATTCTTCTTAAGTTGCAGATACAAATTAAATGCTCATGCTGTTACCAGCTGCTGTAGCAGCCACACCCTTTAMCTTGCTATTCCAGCACTAAACACAAACAAATGTCTCATCCCTGCAGTGGAAACAAAGGTAAATTCCAGTGAGTGCTCTGTGTATCATAAAAACTGTAAATGACCTTCCAGTTCAGTCCAGCCCTCTAACTATCAACTGCAGGCTTGTAAACATGAGAAAGTTCTGTTTCCTGACTCAAAGGACTAAGAACAATGTTAACTTTTATGTTCAGTGATAGCAGCAAAACGTGGAGAAAAATAATTTCTTTTGAGCTAAGAGCAATAGGTGAATGATGCAGTGAGAGGCTTTTATAGTTAAATTCTTCTTTTCCTTGCAGAACCTAGGAGACACATCAGAAGCAATATATACAGAATATAAACAAAGGCCACAGCTTTATTATAAAGAGTGCACACATTTAAATTTGTATCTCCACTAGGCCTACTTGTGTTTCAAATTATGTGTGGTTTTAGTGCTTTGTAGGATTAGGGCAAAGACCAGACAGAAAAATACAAACCAGCAAACAACTGAACTAATGCTTCTGAGATAGACSAAATATWATTTCAAAAMCAGAGAAAACCAAAAATATTACTTGAAACACTTGAAACATTCCAGTCCTGCACTATCCTTATGAAAATCCCTGTGATGTTCATGTGCAGTCCATTTAAGGGTCCAGTGATCACAGTCCTCACTATTTAAATTGAACCAAGTCTAAAAGCAGACTTATGATGCTATAGACACTCAACTACTTTTAAAATTTTTCTCATTTTCATTTGCATTTTCAAATTTTTAAAAGCGAGATTTAGTAAGTGCAATTTAGAAAAAGTAATTTAAAAAAAAAAACCAAAAAAAACCCAAAAAAACAAAAACCCATATTTAGCCCTGTACCACTTATGGAAAGCTGGCAGGAGAGACATATAACAGGAACAATAAACATAATTTCAAAAATAACAGCATGACCTATTAGTAAGGAATGCAATTTTACTTGGGTATTTTAAACTAGCACCATCACAGCGGCACATTTTATTTACTCAGTGGTAAAAGGAGGAATATAGTTTATTTTCTCCCTCGCAATCCARGATTTGTGTTTTCACGTTGCAAAACGACCAATGTTCCAATCTTTACACCTATCTTCAATAAATTAGAAAAAGAAAGGGGATAAACAAATCCTTAGCCAGCTTCTTGGAAGTGTGCTGTACAGAAGAATGCAATTAACTCGTCCTGCCTTCAATTAATGCATTTTTGGCCTTAATAGCGGCATTCATGGCATCATTAAGTGTCCCGCCAGCTGAAGCAGCGGTAGCGCCGCACAGGCCCGATCGAGCACCCTTCCCTCGCAGGCCCTGCGGAGGCTCCCCCCACCCGGCCGTACCTCGGGGCTCAATTCTCGGCCTCCGTCACAGTCCCAGAGGAAAACAGGGGCACATTTGGGAACGGGACCGATACAGCCCCGGGAACACGGGCCGTGCCGCCCGCGGGAGGCGCCGGGGGGTGGAGGGGGGAGCCCGGCACGGCCCGAGCGCGGCGCATGCGCGGGCCCGTCCCGCCCCGGAGCGGGCGGAGCGCTGGGCAGGGGGTGCAGGGGCGCTCGGCTCTGCGGGCTCTGGGCTGGGCAGGGGGT